TGACCGTTCATTCCATGGTGTTCCCAATAAAAATAGGAGAGTTAATGGGAAACCAAGGACATCAGCCCGTCAAGTTGTTTCTCTTCTATTAAAAAAAAAAAAAACGGTTGCAGGTGAGCCAACAAACACAAAGTCGGGAAGCTATTGCCATCCATCATTGTTGAAGTAGTCGAAACGGGAATTTGGTCTTGTGTTTCATCTCTGGAGTTGGTTCTTGCCGATTGGACCCACTTAGGTCAAGAGTGCGCTCCCCAAGATATCCCCCCGTGCGCAGACATGTTCGAAAGCCCGAAAGCAGCGCAAAGTGCACACCGAAAATCAGACATGCTCTTTGCTTCGTTCGGTTACTCCCTTCTGTTCTGCAAAAAGGTGGGATCCCCGAAATGAGTCTCCTTTGTGGTTTGCCCGAAACGAGTTTGCCTCCAAAAAATATGGGGGTTCCCAAAATGAGTTCCTTTGGTGTTCCTGTACAGGCCCAGGCTTTATGGCTATTTAGTGTGATCTTTGGACCTGTTAAATAGCAGGTCGGATGTTCCACTGGACCCAGAAGTTATTCACTTCTTGCAGAGGGTCAACAGCAACTTCAAGGTCAAGTGAGGTGGTTTCGGTGCTTTCGGCTGTTCTGAAAGAGGCTTGGGGAAGCCTGGTCGCATCCGTTTTGGGAATCTATCTGGCCTCAGAGCACGGAGACATCGGCCCACGTGGCTATGGCGGGGCCAGGCAAGCCAAAAGCTAGCTCTGGAGCATGCTTCGCGAAGCGCGGGTGCGAGCGCGGGGCTGATCTCCACCATTGCAGCCGAGAAGCCAAGGCTACTCAGTGCCAGCTGGGAAAGATGAGCTCCACCACCAGCTGGGAAAGATAGCTGGCCAATAACAGCTGGGCACCATTGCAGCCGAGAAGGCAAGGCTACTCAGCGGCTTTAAAAGATAGCTGGCCTCCAGAACCGCTGGGAGCTGCATGCTCTCCATGCCGCCTCCAAATCTGCAGCCCGGAAGGTCGCCCTCGAAGCGCTGCCGCCGCTGGGCTTCAACTCCGGGGGCTTGTCCAAGCTTTCGCCTCGAAGCCTAGGTCCAGCTAGGTGCCCTTTCTCTCCCCTTTGTTGGTTGGGAGGGTTCCCCTACTAAAATAGACATTCCGAAAAAAAAAAGAAAAAAAAAAAAGTCGGGTACTCTTATTCTAAGCTCTCAACTGTCGGGCTTCACCTCCAAGCACCTCGAAACCCGACTGAGGTGCCAGGAGGCCGAGGCGGGCGGTTTCTTGCTCTCCCTCGCGGAGTCGCATCAGGCCGCCTCCCTCGCCATCAGGCGCGTAGCGCACGCGGAAGCCGCGTGGGGAGGCCGAAAAACGGCGTCCGTTTTCCGGTGAGCTGTTCCGTTTTTTCGGTGGATCCGAAAAGGACCCTGGGGGTACGGCTTTCTTTTGTTTGGGGTCGTCTCCTTTTTGGTTTTGGGTGAGGATTGGGGTGGGAGGGCCGACCGTGGATGAGTTGTGCTTGTTGATGCGCGTCCACCAGGCAACATGATGAAGCCTCCGAGTTGATTGGGGCTCAACATTGGGGGAGAGGCTATTTGGCGGGAAAAAAACATAATAGGACCTTTCTGGCTAAGACACGGTCAATAGAAACTGTCCACTGAAGGAGGTGATAACTGACATGGGTTGCACTCGCCAGATGGACATTGGTACCTTGGGTAAACCCCCATGTTCAAGAGTGACACTATGAATACTCACCTTAGTTCATTTCCCCAACAATTGAAGCCAGAAGCCATTCTCCCAGATCCCAACTCCTTTTGGTCCCAACTCCCTTTTGGAGATGCTAGGAGATACGAAGCCCAGACAAAAGCGTCCACCTGAAATGGCATCAGGTGTAGCTGCAATCGCGATATCAACGCACAAACGAGGGTGTTTGCTGAAGCTGCTTTGCCATCAGTATCGAGGTCTCAGAGATGGATGCCACCCAAGTTTCAGCTAGTTTACTCACAGACTCTAAGAGCATGCTGCGCAGGGTGAATCATGTGGAGTTGACAATCACGCATCGTGGAACGCATTGCTTGCCGCATGTTACCGCCTGGGCTCAAACTTTGCGACAAGGCTTGGCCTTCGGCGAGAAGTCCGTTCCCTTGGTTGGCCCCCTTGCCTTCAGGATACTGAACATGTCAAGCGAACAGTTGTTGGCACCCGAGAGATTTCGCCTCTCGAAAGACTTAGGGATTTGTTTGAAAAGCGCCCCCTCCCCTGGTTTGCATTTGAGTGTGTCTTCCCCTGCAAAATGATGGTTTTCTTTTTGGAAACCAACCCACATGCGGTTCCCCAACAAAGACACCCCCATTTAGTTTGTCAGGGTACTGGAGAATTGGAACGGATCCTCCTCCACAATTCAGCAACACACCCATGCGAAGGTTTGAAGGACGAGGCCTAAAGCCGTGTTACATTGGGTTCCTTCCAGATCAAGTTTTCTCTCCTTCCCTCGGTTGTTGTTGGGAAGCATTTTGCATTTTTGCTTATTGTGGTTTAGTGGTTGGAATCCCCACTTGGCTGCTAAAATTTAAATTGTTGCTCCCTTTCAACGTCAACCAAGTTCCTGGAACGGGTTCCCCGCCTTTTTTTCACGGAACGCGTCTCAAGCGAGTGGTCCCCCCTGAAATTTGGTTGGTCTCCTTTGGTTTTTTCCTGGGCAAGACCACCGCGAAAAAGGGTTTCGCCATCTCGAGAAGCGAAAATGGGCTCCGGAGAACTTGCCAGCGCGATAGGTCGAGAGGTAGGGAATGCCTTTCCGAGTCCGGGTGTTGGGAATGAACCGGTTTTGGGGATTCCCAAATAAAGGAAGCCATGGGATGGACCGTTTTTCTTGGGGTCCTTCCTGCCTACTGAGCACCAGCTAGATAGCCCAGTTGCTGCTTTTTCCGTCACTGTTGCTGTTTTGTTTTTTGGTAAAGCGCATGGAAAAAAGCGATCGCAACTGGCGATCCAGGGAACTCCCAAACGAGGTGTAGGGTTTCCTTGTGGTTTCCCTTTTGAACACCATCCAAAATACTCAAACATCGACACGCCCCGTTCGTCCCTTGCCGCCGTTTTTGCCGCTCGCGCGTCGCCAGCCTGGATGGGTCCAATGAGTTGAAGAGCACGGGACAGGCGCGGGGATCGAGGCAGAGAGAAAGGCCCAGCGGACCTCTGGTGGCCCTGTCTTTCTTGTTGCCCGTGTTTGTAGTGTTTTTTCTTATATGGCTGTGGTTGTCAAAACCAATGGTACCGCTTTGGGGTAGGCGCACCACTCATTTTAGAACCTATTTTAGTGGGGATTGGGATGCTCACTGGGGGTACGGGAGTTTGATCCATGGCCATAAGTGGTTTGCTTTTGGGCTGATCCCAAAAGGAAAACCGCCAAGCTCTGGTCTCTTTTCTTTTGGAGTGGGAGGTTTGGACCAAAAGAAATGGGTCTTTCGGAGCCCTTCTCGGCCATCATTTCCCTGGTAGATGATTAAACCACCAGGTAAACCAGGCCATCTATTTTTCTACCAAAACAACCAAAAAGGACACCCATGGCAGTTTGTTGCCTGCCTGTCCAATCAGCCTTGAAATCGAGATCTTGATCAATTCACATGGAGGTCGCTCCCAGAGGTCAACTTCGGCCAAGTGGTTGGAGGCTGCCGCCGGGCAACCGTATGGTATCCCGGAAGTGGTTGACGATGGAAAACGCACATCTGGTGGACATGACAAGCTTGGCTTGTCAACAGGTTTCGTGCTGAAAACGGAAAACGGCTTGTCTAGGATGCTCTTTTTTGGCGATTCCACCTGTTTCCCCCTATTTGGTAACCTTTCAGCACTCTGTTCGTGCTCTTCCAGGGGTGGCTCCACGTAACGGCAGCATCCCTCTCCTTTAAAGCAAATCTATTAAACCAGCCAAGACCAGCGGGACTTGTTCGCCTCCAGAAAACGGCGGTCCTTGTTTTCCCACCGCCAGTGACAAGACGCCGCCTCGTTTGGTGCAGATCTGCGCGGCAGTTTTCAACCCGGAGAGCGATCAGTGGTCCAAGCAGGAGACGACTCCCCCTATGGGCAGGCATGGGGGATGCTCGGTGCACGCTTGGGGTCTAATTTGCAGCCAGTTTTTTTGGAGTTGGTGTTTTAGGGTTTGAGTCTGCATGCGAGAGCTGTTTTTATTTTCATTTGCCGAGTCCGCGTTGAACAAACTATTTAAGACTGACGCCCTTCATTTTAGCAGATGTTTGAACTTGTCAGTGAAGCTAACATCTCTCGATTTTGAAATGGCCCAAGACTGACGTTTATGTCACCCCCCCCCCAAAAAAAAACCAAAAACAACAAGAAGAAAATAAAAAAAACGAAAAGAAAAGAACACAACACAATGAACATCACAACACAAAAGCAACTCAGAGCCCTTGTCCTGACCTCAGGCTTCCTTGGTCCAGCCTTGTGAACTGTAGCTAGTGATTCCACGACCATTTGGGACTGGTTTGACACAACGTTCCTGCCATTTGGGCGGTGGGAATGGTAAATTTCTTGAAGTTCCCCCTGCACTCGGGCTGCAAGGGGAACTCAAAGTTTCCAAAGACTTGAGGCGAGCACAATTGGATCTGCGTTGTTGCGATTGTCTCTGAATGCTCCCGGGCTTACGTTTCATGCCCCTCAGATTGTTGGTTCCAGGGTCGCTCCTGGCGGCACGCAGGCTTTGGTGAACTGGTGCAGAAACTGTACCACAACAAATGCAGTAGCCGCAATGCAAAACAACCCTATCCTGTTCAGGCACATATCCGCCCTACCATGTTTGCCGCCGAAGCAGATGTGTTTGTTGATGTCTTGCACACATTGTACTGCGTATCTAGACACCGTGGATGCACGGTTGCCTCCAAATGGGAGATTCTTCCACAAGATCGGCGGCTTCACTCTGGCTTTCAACCAACCCCAACACCCTCAAAACAGGCAACACCCTCAAAACAGGCGCCACCCTCAAATGCGCTTCACCTCCAAGTGCTTTCCCCCAAACCCACCCAAGACTGAAGCAAAACCCAACCGGCGGCGCGGGCTGCTGGCAGCAGGGGCAGTGGGCCAGGCAGCCCAGCTGGTGCGCAGGGAAAGTGACCCATCTGACGAGTTGGAGTGAGACATCCTCAAGAACCTCCGGAAACCCCCCCAAAACTGAGAAAGGAGGACCCCACCCCAAAAAAAAGAGATTCACTTTGAAAGGTCCAGCTTGGTAGTTTATCAAGTTTCACTCCTCCTTGTCAAAAAATGGCGAGCCAAGCAACGAGGGAGGTCCATCGTCCGTCAACCAAGTGCAGGGTTGCTCCAGCTATTTCTACTTGCGTAACGCCGTGATTCAAGGCCGCGAAAAGGCCTTCAAGGCTCAAACATGAGAATTACCTCTTAGAAAGGGGCAACCAACAGGGTTTCTGAGGCTGTCTGTGTGTCTGTTTGTGTCTGTCTGTGTCTGTCTATGTCTGTGTGTGTCTGTCTGTGTGTGTCTGTCTCTGTGTCTGTCTCTGTGTCTGTCTCTGTGTGGCTGTGTCTGTCTCTGTGTCTCTCTCTGTGTCTCTCTGTGTGTCTGTCTGTGTCTGTCTGTGTGTCTCTCTCTGTGTGATTGTCTATTCCACCATCAGTTCCGGGCTTCGCTGTTGCTTGCCATTCAAACCTTGCCGATCGGAGTTGCAGGGGTCGATCTCCATGGCGGTGCCCGAACTGATCTAAACCGAGACCCAATGGGTGCTCTCATATTGTGTTTGGGGGTGGAACCCCCCCTTTTGCAATACTGAACAGTTCATCTCGATCAAGGAGTGAGGCCTAGCTAAAGCCACAGGGAAATGTTCAGCTACATGCAACTGTAGAAACGTGTGGCCTGTCCTGCCATGCAAAGGCTGCAGATCAAGGGCGAGTAAATGCAGTGGAGGCAGACGTGTTCGTCGGTGCGAAGCAGGATTGTTGGAATCGGGCGGGTGGGTGCTTGCTTCGTGATGTCAGAGAACGTCAGTTCAACATGGGGAAGTAGTCATTGGGAAGGTCTGCCAGTGGTGATGCTATGGAGAACCACCCCTGATTCGCACGGTCCATCAGACGCTTACTTGAGAATATTGTTTTAGTGGTATCCTCCTGTCTGATAACATGGAACCCACCAGAGGGTCCCTTTTACTTCCGGGACTTCTCCGTGAGGTTCCATGGAGGGTAAATCAAAGTCCGGACTTTTTGGTTGGCCGACGCGCTCCAAAAGTACAGGTAGTTTCCCGCAACGGATGAGTGATGGTGTTTGTCAAGGCTCCCTGCCAACCATGATACCCTACCAACAACTAACAGCTGACTTTCCAGTTGCTGGACTTTGTACGTTTCGTGACCAGAATCGAAAACATACCCTTGCCCTGGCATCCACATGAGCCTGACTTGTTTTTGGGTGTGTGTGTGTGTGGAACACAAACAGTTCACGCTTTTTGGTGGCCTCATTTGCTCATCCAGCGCGACAATTCTGGACATGGGCGTTTAGTGAGCACTTGCTTGAGCGTTGGGGGCCTTGGTTCATGCTGAAATCACGCATGACTTCCTAAGTATTGCAAGTAGGGAACAAAGGCACCATGGAACGAGGCATGGGTACCTCCTGTACTTTGCTGTTTCTCAGACAGCCCCTTAAAGGGGGAGGGGGGTGACCCCAAGAGTTTCATTTATGGTTCCGCTTTCCTTCCTTGTATGGGCACGACTAGACAAATGGAATTGGGGACCCCCCACACCCCCTCCCCCCCTTCATGGTAGGGGAGTATTGCAGCCTCTGAAACGTCGATCTTTTCTTCGTGGAATTGCCTTGGTAGACGTTGATCCCCACGCGATGCCAGGCCGCTGGCGCGGCTGACGCCAAGCGTGCTGCGCGAGCCGAGGCTCCACGAGTTGCTGGGAGGCACCGGAAACTCGGGGCAGCTGGGAGTGGGGGGACTGGGGGCTGGGCGTGCCAATTAGATAACTTGGTTCCTGGCCCCTTAGCTTTTTAGACTTTTGAAATTTAGTGGGGGTTTCCATTTAACCCACTACAAGTTAAACTTTTAGCAGGGGATCTTGGAACAGCCCAGATAAGAAGAAGCCATGCCACGGGGCGCAATCACAGAGTACCACGCGTATCGCATAGGAAGTAGGGGCAGTTCGCCCAAAGGTAGTAACGCTGGATTCACAAAACACAAAATACATGTAAATCCGACCCACTCGATTGGGTGTTTCGCAACGCAGGAAGTTCGAAAGGGCCCTACACAACTTGTTGGTTTGCTTTAGGCCCCACAAGAGGTTTAGTTTCCGACTACCTGTGGTTGAGTTGGTGAAGTGCACTCTTGGTAGGTTCTCACTGTACTGAAGGCTGCCAACAAGTGTCAAACACACTTCCCACCACTCAGTCAGCAGGTCAAATGCAGATCGTACTGATGCCCATTCGCTATGCGCATGCGCAGCGAGGGATAGAAGCCTCTTGCAGCAAGCTACCGATCCACTTCACTCAGGAGGATCTGTGTGTTTCCCTCTTCGACACCCTTTCGGTCAGTGAACTGTCCAGGTCCTTTTTCCATCATGCGTCAGCCTTTGGTGCCCATCGGAAGCATTCTTTTACTCACTTCCTGAGTTCCTGGACTTTAAGCTTTTTGGGGTTGGACCATGTTAGTGGTAAGTCAAAAGTTAGGTATTTCTCTGCTTTGGGCCATCCACTCGATCGAAAGCATTCCTGAAAGGGGGGAGGCCTTTTTTATCGATTTTGAATGGGTAGATTAATGGGAGCGGGGAAGTGGGTGGCTCGTCTTGCTTTTCGGTCTCGGACCCCCTACACATGGCTTCGGTTTTCCTCTTGCGTTGCCTTTAAAACCAACCAAACACGGGTACCCTCCAAACAAGACAGACCCAAGATGAGAGGGAAGCCTGATGCAAGAGTTTGACCGCCGATCAATGAACCTTGCAGGTTGATGGGGTGTTTCCCCCCGAACAGTTTGAAAAGTCCCCCGCCCCGTAGAAGGGGACAACCCCTATGAGTCAACCAGGATTGATGAATCCCTCTGGATCCTTCTCAGCAAGCCACTAAGTGGCTGAATATGGGCATGTCTCAAAATAGGTGGACCTCTCAGAACGGATTCCGGGCTTCCTTTTGGAATGCCTTTGACCCAGCCACAAAATGGGTACCAACTCAAAAACAAGAGAAGTGAAGTATGACCACTGGTTATAAGTCTTCAGAGTGGGTTATGATGATAACCAGGCTTGCTAACCACCCCATCTGCCCCTTTAAGAACCCCATGTGTTCCTATGACAACCCGGGGGTGGCACAAATCATATGAACAATCACTCACCTCACCTCACAAACAAAGAGCCATGCCCTCCCCTTCAGGGTTGTGGGATCACTCGGGGTTTATCCCCACTGTGATACAAGGGTTTACCCGCCCTCCCACTAACATGGCAACTGACAGGGGGTCCCTTCAAAAGCAACGTGGTCTTCCAGGTACCTCCCCGCAGGTGCCATGTTAGTTGGAGGAAGTTTATCCCCCCTGTATATAGGGGGTTCGTCTTTGGGAAGCCCTTTTTGTTGTATCACAACCTCACACACACACACAAAAACACACACACACACCAAAATAAAACTCAAAACAAAAACAACTGTTTTTCAACAAAACACAACTGAAAAAATCAAAAATAGGTTTTTTCCCCACAGCCTTGCCCTCCCCTTCCTTTGAGGTGCCCCAGCGGTGCTGGACCTCGGCGGCTCCGCGCTCGCGGAGGCCCTGGCGCGCTGGCGCGGCATCGTTTCCGGCTCCGGAGGCGTCGGACCTTCGGCCACGGGGGGCCGGAAGGGACCCTCCCGGGAGTGTGGTTTCATGATTTTTTTTTGGGGGGGAAGTCAGAAAACTATGAAAACTGGGGTGGGTTTTTGGGGGAAGTCAGAAAGCTGGGGTGGGTTTTTGGGGGAAAGTCAGAAAACTGAGGGTGGTTGTCCTTGAAGTTATTACTTGGGGGGGGGACTTTGAGGTGGTGAGATAACGGGGTCAGTGCCTTTTGCGGAATGGGGAGGGCGCGCCTCTTGAATGGGGGGCACGCTCTTGCTCGCGTGTTTGGAGGCAGGTGTGCCCCAAGAACAACCGTAGGGTTCCTCGCAAAAGAAGGACCTTTTGTGCTGTCAAGCAATTGGCGGGGTATCCCACTTGACGGCTGTCCAAAAACCATCAACACCGCGGGCCAACGTGAGATAGGGTAACGGTAATCTCTTCAACGTTTTGGGCTTCAGTTTGAGGTGCAAGAAAGAGTATATGGGGTTGATCAAGAGGTCCTTTGCATGTGGGATGACCATTAGGGAAAACCACCAGAACGATGACTTTCCCACTAGGTGGGAACAGTTACACGTGGTCATTTGGGGGCCAGGAGTTTTGATCAACCCCACAAAAGGAGATCCTCGCACTCACGGGGAGCGAAGATTTGAGCTGGGCAGACATCGTGCGGGAGCTGACGGGCCGTTTATTTGAGACGACGCTTGTTTGACGTCGAGTGGTTGGATTTGTTCGCGGAAATTATGGTTATTGACGCCATGGCCTTGTTTTTCCTCAAACTGGATTGCTTGAAATGGACCCTGCATCCTTTTGCCAGACAGTAATGTGTTCCCACTAAAGCTCCATTTTGAACGACGCAGTGCAACACGGATCCTGAAAACGCTCGCCCCTATTTGATCAGGTGAGCTAGAGCATTTCTGCCGACCGCAGCCACAGGCTCTTGTCAGGATGGTACCTGACCAATGACGCAGAACATAGCATAACACAGCACAGACCCTATGGTTTTTGGTGCTTGGAAAATCTCGTGATTGTAACAGTACTTAGAGCTCTGAGTAGTCAGACTCAGCGAGCCGATATTTTTTGGCTGACTGGCTGACCTGCAGACAGCGGAGCAGCATGGCTTTCAAGCAGGAAACCCTCAGTCGACAGGCGTGTGGGTGGGTGGCCTGTGGGCCCAACGTTGTGAGATCGATGGATTCGGAGCACAGGCAGCACACTGAGTCCAGGTCTGTCAGCGACGAGCAAGCTTACCAAAAGCCGCGCGCAACTCCTCCATCTCTTTGCGGGGCGCGGGCGCCTGATGGCCTGAGCTTTCTTGTCGCCTGGTATCTTCAGAGGCAAGGCTGCTGGGTCGTTCTCCCACGAACGTTTGTAGCCTCGGATGTTCCGGGGGTTGATTTGCCTGGAGATCCTGGCAAGTGATTTTGATTGCATGGACAGATAGCAGTCATACAACTAGCTGAAGGGTGTGCAGGTTGTCCAGGGCCCAACACGCATGCGTCCCCTGAGTCTCGGGCTGCGTGCGAAGCATCAGGGACCGGTGGAGGATTGTGGATGTGTCCATAGCAACTGCCCAGGTTCCCAGGTATCATTTCAGTGTCGCGTGTCGGTGTCGCGATTCTTCCGGCAGACAAAGTTGAGTCTGCTTCTCAGGGCATGCTAAGAATAGCGGCCGTGTGGCAGATGATAAGAGCAGATGTGCCAGTCGTTCAGTGGCGCTTGCCTTTTTTTTGAATTTGTCCCCCACAGACATGACTACCCAACGAGGGTTTGCTCCCCTCCATGGAGCAACAAGACTTGGCCGATGGAAAGGCGAATTCTGAACGGGGCAACAGGAATCGCCTTGATCAAGTTGCTGGGCAGGATCAGGTCTTATTTGGACCAGCCGCAACAGCAACGCAACCTATTCAGGGGCAAAGCACCGCACACCTGCAGTCAGAGCAGGTAAAACCGCCAGGTTGGGTGCCTTGGATTCCTTTTGGGGGGTTGGCGGGGTCCTCTAAAAGCTTCACAGCCTCTTGACCTGGAACAAAATGAGGGTTTCTGCAGGGTCCATTCGCCCATCTTTTCAGGGCCGCAGGCGGGGGTTTCGCCCTCAAGATGCGGCACGCCGGAAGACCCAGGGCGCGCGTCTTGCTGGATTTGGGCCCCCAACGACGTCCCTGACAGGGGATCCTTTCAAGAGGAACTCCACTTTTCCAGGTACCCTCTCTGGGAGGAAGGGCAAGGGCTTCTCGAAATTTGTTGGAAGGCCCCCCCCGCTTTGCTCCACCATTTCGAGGACACATGGTTTTAACGGACCCAGCTTTTCGTCGGTGTTCGGTGGGTGCACTTGGCCAGTAAGCCATTGTTTGGCTGTGATGGGTTGCGGCCAGACACCCTTGAGGGCTTCTCACTAGAGGTTTGCAATGGTTTGCATTTTCCGCACTTTGCGAACCAAGCTAGGGAGCCTCAGACACAGGCTTCCCCAGTCATTCTCGTTTAAGCTTGTCGGGTTCGCCGTCGGGGCTGGAGAATCGCTTCATTTTTCTAGGTGCCTAATTTAGGGCCCAGATCGATGATTGCTAGTTTCGGCAATTGTACATCTTCAATGTGCTGGGTGCAACAGAGGTCAATCCACGCATTCCCGGTACTTGTAGTTGGGGAGAGGCAATCAACAAACTTGCCAGATGGCAGTTGTCAAGCACGCTCTGGTGTGAGGCTATGGGCAACAGGTGAGCCCAAGCCTTCCGACCCCCCGATTCTATTGATGAACAAAAGAGTTGATGATAGGCCTGGCAAATTTATTTGGAATACTGGAATCGTTGTATATTGGCACTTTGAGGGTTGTACTTGAAAGGCTCTGGGCCTTATATAGAACTATTCACCCTGGGGGGGATGCGGCCAGAATGGGCCGGCCGGTCGCGTGAGATTGGCTCATCGAATGGCTGCATTACGGGACCCTGCGCGAGGATCATGCAACACCGGATTGGAGTTCCAAGGAACTCTCTCACTTACCTCCTCTCCTTTGCAGTCTCTCCACGGGATTCATAGAACATCGGGTCTCGAAACCGAAGACACCGCCCTTGACCTTCAGACCCCGATCCGAGGCCTACACCTTGGCTCGGAGGCCGGGGTTTTACCGGCCAGAATGGGCCGGGGGAAGGGATGTTTTCCCATTGGGGACATGGGTTGGGGGGCTGAACAACCTGTCTCGTGTTTTTTCTTTTTTTTTTCTTCTCCTTTTTTTTCTCCTTCTTTTTCTTCCCGGATTCCAGGAAAATCGCCGGATATCGTCTGGTTCTGGGAAGAACCCCAGCTCGGAATCCCAGAAAGGGGGCCATCATCGCGGATTGAGCGAGTTGGAGTTGCCCATGTGCTTTGCATGTTGCTGAAAGCGACCTTTTTTTCGGGGCAATGTCACATCCACGTAAGGCCTCCAATCCCCGCTGTCTCACTTGATCAGGTCACCTACATTGAGGTAAGTCCGACAGCGGCCCAGCGGCTATTTCGGGATCGCTTTGGCCCTAACCCTCACAGAGAATGATGTGTGTTTTCTGCGCGTATTGTTAACGTGATTGTTTGTTTGGTGAGGGTACCATTTTCAGGTCGGTTCAAAGGAAAGCCAGAAGAAAGATAATGATGTTGCGGGTCCCCCTGTTCTGACAAAAGGCGACCGCAAAGCGACGCTTGGGGAAATTCCCAAGGAAATGGCACCAATCCTGAGCCAACTCCAAGCCATCCCTGAAATGACCCTGGACGGATTTCTGAGCGCCGATCTACGTGTGCCATACATCAGTGACCCTTTGAGGTGTGTTAAAATTGTGCTGAAGGGGTTGATTCCCCAGCTCACTTCCTGAGTTCATGCACTTAAAACTTTTTGGGAAGACCGTTTTGGTGATAAATATAAAGGTTGGACTTTTTTTGGGCCATCCACTCAGCCAGTCTTTTTTTAGCATCTTTCCTTTCAAAGAAGAGGCCTTCTAACCTTCGGTTTCTGTTGGACTCGAACAGAATGGGGAAGTTACCCTAGCCTTTTGGCCACGAGTTTTCCTGCGAGGCTTCAAGCTGCAGATGGGCGTTCGGAGCCCGAAATCCGGGTTTTGGGCGGGGTCCCCTGCGGCGACGGCTTCCTTTTGGCTTCCCTTTAAACTCACTTCCTGAGTTGGGCTTGATACTGTGATACTTTTTTGGGAAGAGCGTAGTTTGTTGTCTTGTTTAGGCCAAATTTATTCAGGAAGTGAGTAAATACCAGCCCAAAGGGGGGGGATCTGAATCTCATTTTGGAAAACTTTCAGTTGTGAAGGAATTTAAAAAGTTTCATCGGATTGCTCTCTTGGAAAGTGGGGAGGTACTTGGGGCTGATTTGATGAGGGGGTTTCTCTCTTGGCAACTGCCAGAGGATACTTCACTTGAGGTCGCACCCCCTCCTAGTTGATTCATCCGGGCTTTGCGGGGCTGACAATGCCTCCGAGAGGGGTGGTCGAAGTTGGCGAAACGGGGCGCTGGGCACTTGGGCCATTTTCAAGCCATCCGCGGTCTTTTGAACTTCAAACACAGAAACGGAGATGAAAAAGACATGTCTGATGTCTGGCAACCTTTCTGAAGGATCCTGCTTAGTAAGGCGCCTTGGGGATGTTCACTTTGTTCTGAACCTCTGCTTTCAAGGCAGCCCAGGATGCATTTATCGGCTTACCAAACTGATTATATGTAATAAGTGGGTGTCTTAAAATGAAGGATCCTCAGAACATATATCGGGACCTATGGATTTGTCAAAAAATGGGGGTCGGACCCTCAAAGTAGTCACGAAAGCGCTGCTGAAGTTGTCCTACCTAAGCCACACTTAGCAATAGCTCGGGCCAAAATTGCTGTGCTGCTTGTGCCAAAGCATGCTGATACGGGATTTAGTGGAGTCCTCAACAGCCTGTTTCGGGCATTTTTGCGCATTTTGCGAGGTTGTGAGTTCGATTCCCAACCGTTCCCGCCTCGGTTCAGGGTGTTCCAAGCTTTGGTTTCCCT